TTTGCCGTGTCCGAGGTGTCCCGGGGTCGTGGTGGAGCCGTTCCCTGCAGAGCCGGCGTGGTGGTGGCGTGAGATGCGTTGGGTCAGATGTTGCAGGGCTTGGTCAGGGGTGCGATCTCGGTGCTCGACACCCTGCTTGGTCGTGGTGTGCGGACGTGGTGCTCAGCCGTGGTGTTTGGTCACGCGCCGTGGACGTGGTGCTCGGGTCATAGTGTTTGGTCACACACCGTGGGCGTGGTGCTTGGACACGGTGGTCAGTCACACATTGTAGATGTGGCGCTTGAACAGGGTGCTTGGATGTGGTGCTTGGACCTGGTGCTCAGACAGGGTGCTTGGACACAGTGCCCAGCCACACATCGTGGACGTGGTGCTCGGGCACGGTGCTCTGCCGAGGTGCTTGGACGTGGCGTGTGGACACGGTGCTCGGGGCACGGTGCTCGTCCACACCCCACAGACATGGTGGGCAGGCACCGTGCTCGGACACGATCCGTGGACACAGTGCACGGACGTGGTGCTTGGACATGGTGTGTGGACACGGTGCTCGGACGTGATGTGTGGGACATGGTGCTCGCCCCTGGTGTTCAGACGCGGTGCACGGACTCGGTGCTTCTCCTGCGGTGCTTGGACTTGGTGCATGGACACGGTGCTCAGGCACGGTGCTTGACCACGTCACGGACACGGTGCACGGGTATGGTGCTCGGGCACGGTGCTCAGCCGTGCACCGTGGACGTGATGCGTGGGTACGGTGCTCAGACGTGGCGCGTGGACACGGTGCTCTTGCTTGGTGCTTGGACTTGGTGCATGGACTCGGTGCTTGACCACGGTGTGTGAACCTGGTGCTCTGACACGACGTGTGGACACGGTGCTCAGTCGGGGGGTGTGGACACGGTGCTTGACCACGTCGTGGACATGGTGCATGGACACGGTGCTCAGACACGGTGCATGGACGTGGTGCTCGGGGCACGGTGCTCAGCCATGCACCGTGGACGGGGTGCTCAGGGACAGTGCTTGGACGTGGTGTTGTGTGGACATGGTGCTCTGCTTGGTGCCTGGACTCGGTGCTTGACCACGCATCACGGACACGGTGGTGCTCAGATGGCGGTGTGTGTGCTCGTGGTGCTCGAGCGCTGTGCTTGGACCCGGTGCATGGACTCGGCGCTCAGCCACGACGCGTGAACACGGCGCTCGACCGTGGGGCTCAGCCAGGGGGTGTGGACGTGGTGCATGGACACGGTGCTCCCACGTGGTGCATGGACACGGTGCTGCCACGTGGTGCATGGACACGGTGCTCCCACGTGGTGCATGGACACGGTGCTCAGACGTGGTGCTCTGCTTGGTGCTTGGACTCTCTGCATGGA